TATATGTATATGTCTATATAGGTATATGTAGACATGTGCCGGTATTCGGTAATGCGATATATCATGCTAATGAATATGCACAATATTGTTATCGTGGGCACGTCAAAATACAGAGAATAATTATTTACTACAAATTATTCAGAATTTTGAACACATTTTAAGAATACTTTTCCCATCAACTGGTTAAATGCACAATACCACTGTAAGCTGCGTCAAAGACACGTGTGCATTCTGATGTAAACAAGCACGGATGAGAAGCGCATAGTGGAACGCGTGAGCGACGCTCTGGATAAAGTGCACATTCACTCTCTGAAAACAGATGGCGCTAAACTGCAGAAATGCAGCCGTTCAGAGTCGTGTGACAGACACAGTGATGAAGCTGGTCTCTCTCACTCTCTCTCTCTCACACACACACACACACACACGCGCGCACGCGCGCACGCACGCACGCGCAGAGTCAGAATTACCTCCTCTCCTAGGTTCACGAAATGGTCGTCCATAAAATGCATTGCTGTTCTGTTGTAAGTAATCTTAAAGATTCCTAAATGCATCTACTTTCGGAAGGCCAAATAAAGTGCTTTTGCTTTCGCCTAGAAACACACAGCGTCTCCCTGACATGGCTGCTTCAACACTAACTGCGGTTACTGAAACCACGCCTTCTTTCTTTGCGTGCACATTTGGGTGGCATTATGCTAATATTTCCACATAGTGAGGTAGATATGTGGGGGCGTGTTTGAACGAGCCGTTTTAGGGGGGCGTGGCAGAGTCTTAACTTTGATAAAGAATATCTCTTTGGTTTTGAGACTTTAGTCTTTGCAACTTCAGGGATCTTATCTATGCACAATCAGCTTGTAACACTCCAAAGAGAAAGGAAAACTTGAAATTGCATCATATGACCCCTTTAATAGGCTGTTTATTTTCAAACTTTTTTACATTTGAATCTGGACTACAACATGCCCTAGATATTGTTTGAAAGTGTTTTGATTATTGTTTGGTCACACTTTACATTAAGGCTTCATTAGTTAACATTAGTTAATTAATTAGTAAACAAACTCCCAATAAAAAAAATAATAATCTAAACATTCAGTAATCTTAGGTAATTCCAAATATTTAATAACACATTGTTAAAATCTTTGCAACTTTGCAACTGTGTTGTTTAATGTTTTTTTTTTTTTACAAAGATTAATAACTTCTGTAGCAAGTGTAGCTGTTGCTCATTGTGAATGTTGATGCATTAACTAAGGTTAACTAATGAGATCTTATTGTAAAATGATACCTATTGGTCTTTATAGTTCCTTTGCACTTTAATTATTTTAAAATTTTAACTTTATACATTTGTGTATTGCTTTATTGTATTTAAATGTTCAGTTATTTTTGTTATAAGAAAAAAGTTATTAAACCTGTTGTACTTTATTACGACACTTTTTTGCAACTAAATTTCAATATCGTGATAATACAACATACCGTGATAAAAGCATTAGCAATTAATCGCAACATGAAAGTTTGATACCGGCATATCCCTATGTGTATGTATATAAATATAAATATAAAATATAAAAATGTAATATTCAAATTTGGTCTTTTTATTTGCTATAATTTGCAAATGTATAATAAAATCTGTAAATATATATAATGTATGTGTTTAAATGAAGGAATTGTAATTTGTAGGTTAAAATATAAATTAATCACAAAAGGTAGAATATAAACTAGAGGTCGACCGATTGATCGGCCGATTTTTGGCATTTTTTAATTAATCGCATTGGCCGATTGTGCTGCAAATTAGGCCGATTTATAGGCAGGTGCATCTGCGGGCAGCTAAGCGTTGTTGCTGAACACCGGAGAATCTCTCTCTGGCTGCGTGAGACACTGAGCAACTCACACACTGACTGCAGCCGCTTCTTGTTCACACACAGCTTCAGCTAATGATGGCAGGGCAAAATAGACCGTTTCAAAAGCGTAATTACGTTTTACCCTACTAGAATTGATGGCGGAAAGTTAAAATATTCATAAGTGCAACAAGTCATTTGCATGTGAAAGTAGAAACGCATGCAATTCAGACGAAACTTCTGGGCTGATTATAACTTGCACGTTAACTTTCCTCATGAAATGTGTGTGTAGGTCCGACAATAGCCTCCACGATGTCATCGCTCGTGGCCAGTACACTTTTAAGCAGTTATGAGCAGCTGGCTGTGTAATATGTGCGAACTCTTTTATTTTTATCACTTGGCCATTTGACTTCTAGCAGTGTCCAGTGCTTCCCATACATTGAGTTATTTGTGGCGGCTCGTCACAACAGAAGGACCGCCACAAATAGATTTTCCAAAAGGCTTATACTTCCTTGAATAAACTGAGCACTGCACGTTTCAAAATTAAAATGCAGCGCGGGTGTTTTTATATGAATGTATCTTTGAAAAGAACCAATCTTCTTCAGAAAAGCTTCGATGTCATTTTCATTTCGTCTTTCATGTAATGCCTGATAAAGTAGCGTTTGTGAGCGCAGCGCTTATTTGATTACAGTCAAACATATCGGCCCAAAAAATCGGCATCATATATCGGCCATCGGCTGCCCTGATTTCTAAATATCGGCATTGGCATCGGCTGATTTGCTGCTCAAGAAACATTTCTTGTTATTATCAATGTTGAAAACAGTTGTGCTGTGTAGTATTTTTGTGGAGACGGATACATTTTTTCAGGATTCTTTGATGAATAGAAAGTTCTGAAATTAGTTCATATAAAATAATTGACACAAAATATTTTTGTAACATTATTAATGCCTTTACTTTATATATCCTAGCTAAATAAAAGTATTAATTTCTTTAAAAAAAAAAAACTTTTTAAACGAAGCATGTAATAACATTGCATGTAATAATAGTGCTCTGAGCTTCTCCTCTCATGTTTTTTTTAACAGAAAGTGAGGAAGAAGAACCAGGAAATGAAGGTGCTAATGGACCAGATGAGGAACCTCCTGTGGGACGTCAATGCCATGCTCACCATGCGAAAATGACAGCTTCCTAGTAAACATCTGACCATCTTCCGTCAGCCCTCATCTCTCACACGTTCAGGTGCTTTCACACGGATAGCAGTGTTCGGCAGACTGCCTTTCATTCACTGCTCGTGCAAATGCCACATAATATTTCATCTTGACAAATGAGATCAGGCTTGGCAGCTCTTTGTGGTCCTGCCTAATTTACAGTGTTAAATCCCAATGCTCTGATTAATAACTGCTTCATCAAAGCACTGATTTAGCATCAGAAACAGGAAGTAATGTGAAAGCCATGCAGATGATGTAAGCTAGCCGTGTTGTTGGCATGATAAATGAGCACTGCGGACTAAGCTTTGTGAATAATAGTGCCTACTATGATCTTTTGTGCATTCATTGAACTGTGTGATGTGTTTCACACTGTTGCTCCTCAGCAAATATGTACTCGGGTAGAGTGTGTGTTTCCCTGAGCTCTGCATTACACTTCTGATATCTGCCTTCTAGGGAAAGGATCGTCTGAAAAAAAAAAAACCTGAATGAATCGCAGGATGATTGTTTTTGTAAACTAAAGACTTTTATACAAAATACAAAAGAAAAACAACTCTTTTGTCATGTCTTTTCTTTTAGGAAATACAAAAACAGAATTCACAACAGCAATTGACATTACCTTCCGTGTAACATGCTATTATATCTAAAACTAAACATATTTATAATGTTAAAAAGAATTTCAATATTTCAAGTAAATCTGTTCTTTTCAATTTCTATTAATCAAAGTTTTCTGAAAACATTTGTCACAGTTTCCATAAAAATATTAAGCAGCACAACTGTTTTCAACATTGATGATAATAAGAAATCTTTTTATGAGCAGCAAATCAGCATATTATAATGGTTTCTGAAGGATCATGTGACGATGAAGACTGGAGTAATGATGCTGAAAATTCAGCTTTGATCACAGGAATAAATTACATTTGAAAATATATTAAAATATAGAACAGTTATTTTAAATTGTATTATTATTTCACATTACTGTTTACACTGTATAATAAATGCAACTCTGGTGAGCATAAAAGTCTTGTTTCAAAAACATAAATCTTACCCCAAACTTTTGAGCGGTAGTGTATGCTTTTAAAAACTCATACCAGCCATGAATAAAACTACAAAATTTCATCTTGAACTACATGTTGTATAAACTACCAGTCAGCAATTACATTAACGTACATTAATTTTCGCAAACTTTTAAGTGCACAAAGCTCCATTTAATTTTCAAATCAATGTTGATTCAGTAACTGCTCTTTGAGATTTGTCTGTGATTTAATCTGTTGTTTTTGAACAATTCATTACAATCCACTCTTTCAGTCCTTTGCTTGGGCATCTGTAATTATACAACTTTTCCATATGTTTTCATATAAATTGTTTTCTTCTAATCTAATTCAACTCTAAATTGTCTAAAAAATAAAAGATTCATCACAAAAGATACTACTTTTCATCTAATGTCTTGATACTGAAGAGTAAAATGTTTTTATTATTTATTAACTACCCACATTTTGGGTAATAGTTTTAGGCACAGTTGCTGGGAACAGCAAAATAAAACCACAATTTCACAAATACAGCCACACACACACCGTTTGCATTTCAGAATTATTTTATTGGTCATGTAATTACCACTTCATGTAATCAGTCAGTTGCTTTGTTCGTCCAATGCACCATTAGGCACCCTTAATGCTACAAACTCCTCCGGTCAAACAGCAGCTGGAATGATTTGACAGATCTGTGATGTTTTCTCATCCATGAAGCTGTCAGTCATAAATTGAGAACTGGTCATAAGAGGCAAAAACCTGTCTCTTGTCCACAAGCTAGCAGCCAGTAGCGGAGGTATAGAGATAAGTCTCTCCATCAGCATAAGTATCAGTTTGTGACCCATCGCCACTCGTTCATCTTGGCTCAGACGCGCTCCAGGTCTTTGTACCTCTTGCGCAGGACGGACACGTGGTCCTTGAAGAGTACGGGGTCCAGGCGAAACTGAGAGTGCACTAGAGGCATGTAACCAAACCAGCTTGCAAAGGTGTTGACACACTCCTGCCGCTGGGTAAAGTGCTCAGGGTTCGCCCATGGGGCCATCTTAGTGCCCTTAGAGTGGACAGGAAATAAGATGTCAAAAATATATCACACTACAGTTTTTTTAAAAAAATTTTTTTTTTTACAATTGCTAGGACACACTTCTCATTACCAATTTTCAGCTTGGCACAGCAATACATTTCACTTCCAAAATGAACTAAAACTACCAAAACACTTACACAATAGTCTCAAATCAAGTCATTCTTCCATAACACTAACAAGTGTTAGCACTCATAAAACCTAAAAACACCTTTTTTTGGGTGAACTATCTCTTTGAGATTCAAAGGTATGTAAACCACGTTCTGCAAGGGGTATGCAAACTTATGAGCAGAATTGTAAGTACAAAATGTTGGCTCTCTAGCCTCACCTGCAGGGTGGGCATCTCTTTGTACTGCTTCCTCTGCGCTACTTTAATCGGTGGCAGGTGTGTCACAGAGGAGACCAGGAAATTAATCAGGATATCCTCACAGTTAGAGGTGCGATCCACTAGCGCACGCAGAGAGGAGGGCAGGTAGTGAGAGAACAGGTGATGGTAGTACCTGTGAGACGCAAAGACATCAACACATAATCAAGAGCACTGTCTCCGCTGATCATGTTAGAGAGCTTGATGAAGTGTGAGAGACGTCAACACTGTCAGGATATGTCAGCTGCAGCCAATTACCTGTGATAAAACGCCGCTCCGGTGAGGACGATGGAGTACTCGTTGGTCCATTTAGAGGTGTAGCCCCAGGCTTTCTTTACAGGGTCCCAGAAATGGCTTCTGGGAGGGTAGCCAACAATCCTCTCGGGGAAACTTCGCCACACATGGAAAGCAAAATTGATCTGGAAGTGTCAGATTACAGAGGAAAAACATGAATTAGCTTTGTCATGTGTCAAAACAATGCAATCTGATTTATTTAATTTAGTTTAGACTCTTTTTATGACCCAGGGCATCTACTAGAATCCCCAATCAATTATAATAGCAAAGCTATTAAAATTGTTTTCAGTGATTAAAATGAAGCTGAAATAAAATATAAATATTAGATGAAAACAAGCTTCAAAAACTTACATCAAATTGAGAAATTTTAGTATATATACAGTGTATATATATATATATATATATATATGTGTGTGTGTGTGTGTGTGTGTGTGTATGTGTGTGTATATATATATATATATATATATATCTGAAAAAATATAAATATTAGATAAAAACAAACTTCAAAAACATGAGAATTAGAGATTTTATAAAATGCATATTTGATAAAAACAAAATGAAACAAACATTTTTAATTTTCATTAAATTAAACGTGATGTACTAAAATACACAAATGTGAAATAAAATGAATAAAAACTACATAAACATTAAAAAATATAAAATATTATAAAAACAATTACTAAACTAAAATAGACTGAAAATTGAAAATATGAAAATCAAAACTAATTCAAAATATTATTATAAAATTATTATAGCATCTCAAATATACTAAAACAACACTGCACCATAGCAACCAGCTAGAGCACCCCAGAATCATGGTGGCTAGTTCTGTTTTTACAGTTACAGTGAATTTGTATTAAACCTATCTATCTATCTAAAAGTTATAAATAAAAGTAGTATAAGTTATATAAGTTTAAATACACATAAAATACACACATTTTGAAAAAATTCAATTTTAAAATCATTTAAGGATAAAGAATAAAATGTATACTATAATACTATAAATAAATAAATAAATAAAATAATGATCACAATTTTAATAAATAAATGAAAGTTTAATTTAAAATAGATTAAAGTGAAATAAAACCATGCAGGATGAAGAGGAAACTCTATACCTCGCTGGTCAACAGCACTGTGTCTTCATCTAGGCTCAAAACGGCCTCCGTCTCAATAGCTGCATGAGGCAGGAAACGGCTGCTCGTCTGCGAGCACAGAAGATGGCAGAGAAAAGAGCTGAGTGAGACACGAGGTGGAGAGAGAGAGAGCGCAAGATCTCGCCACTGCTCACAGACATGACTTGATTGTTCTCTCACTTGAATACTCACTTTTCTTCTGCCATCTGTGATGAGAAGGGGCACTGGCATAGCCGGCCATTTACTCCGGTGAGGGGGCGGCTTCTCACTGTTCCACAGGATGATGATCTGACAAGAAACCCAAACAAGAACACACACTATCACAGCATGCACACCAAACTGGTTGATGTGTCTTCTTGTTGGCTTTTGTCTGTATCCAACTATATTAACACTGAACTGATGTGGCTCTGCATTGATATCATTGAACAAAAGGTCATTCCTTAGTGGTGCAATAACTATTACTTTAAGTTTTAAAAAATCCATATTACTCTATATTTTTATAAACACTGACTTTGCAGTACTGTACCTGTGAGCAGTATTTTGATTTGGAGACGACCTGAAGAAGCTTCATGATTGGCTGAGACTGGGAGACCAGAGGTGAGGTGGCGTGAATTACAGCAGTGAACTCCTGACCTGGACTGATTCCTACATCAACAGAGGAAAAAGATTGAGCGTTCTTTGCCTTAGTATACTTAGTATAGTGCTCAATGGCACAATGTTTGAAATGGCAAACTATTACGGTGTTATTTTAATATTATTTATATGCGATTATAGTAGAGCTGTCAAACGATTAATCGCGATTAATCGCATCCAAAATAAAAGTGTTTGTTTGAATAATATATGTGTGTGTTCTGTGTATGTTTATTATGTATATATGAATACACAAACATACAGTATATATTTTGAAAATATTTAGATGTATTTACATGTCTATATTTATATTAATATAATTTATATTATAAATAAATATATTTAATATATGAAAGTAACACATTTTTCAGAAATATATACATGTATGTGTGTGTATTTATATATATATAATAAATATATATTATGCAAACAAAAACTTTTATTTTGGATGTGATTAATCGCGATTAATCGTTTGACAGCACTAGATTATAGTATTCATTAATATTTTGAATTAACATTTTTCACATTTTCAGTTTTCATTTTAAATTTAGTTTAAGTTTTAGTGTTTTTTTCAGTTTGTGTTTTTTATTCATTTTAATTTTTAACATTTCTAATTAGATTTAACTTATTTTTTTGATTTCAGTTTTAGTAATTACCTGTCAAGACAACATTTATAATTTCCATAATTTTTTTTTTACGTTTTTAGCCTAATATTTATATTTTATTTTCAATTACCTATTTTTAATACTTTTAGTTTTGGTTAATACCAAACACTGCTACCAAACTACTACTAATTTTTTTTTTTGCAGTAAGCATACTGTTGCATACAGTCAAATCATTACATTTGTTACATTTGTCAAAATATGCAGTATACAACCAGAGCATACTGTGTGAAATACTGTATCCCATAATGCAATACAATCAACCTTACAGTGTGACAAATTAACTGATGAATGAATGATGATTGAATATCAACCATGATTATTAACATCTTT